GACCAAAGTGCAGTGACTTGCACCCCACAAGTCAGCAGTGAGGCACAAGGAAGTGCCTGTCAGCATCTTACCAGCCTCAGGCTTAGTTCAGCCCTGCCAGCCCTCCTAGATGCAGCCCCATGGGCTTCTCTGTGTGTTAGCTGCAGAACTGCACCTCTGTCTGCAGACACCTTCCAGTTCTGCGTGGACACGATGTTCTCATGTGAGGGTCCAGCTGTGTCACCAGGCAGTGCTGCAGGATGTGCCATGGGGAGCTAGCCCAAAATCCCCCAAGGAGATGCCCAGGTTTGCCCATTGGACAGTCGTTTTAGTTTGTTTTGATTTCTTTATTTTGCTTTCATGGTCCCCATAATAACTAACTGGATTCCTGGATGTTCAGCTCCTCCAAGATTTTCATCATATGACACGAAATGGAATAAAATACAGCATATAAAAGAAGTGGAATTCATCAGAGACTATCATAATGACCTGCAAGAATAGGCATAAGAAAGTGAGCCTTGTTTAATGATTGTTTATAGTGACAGCCCAAATTTTAATCAATTAGCATATGAGCCCATTACTTGAAAGACGTGGTCGGCCTGTGGGACTGCATTTGGTATTTCTTCTTTCCTCAGGGGAGCTGCAGGGTATCAGCTGACATCTTGGAAGCACTCCTTCCTTACTGATGCTTTAAAAGCTGCTTTTCTGGCTGCAGAAGCATAGTTAAGCCTTGCACATGTATTCTGTGTGTGCTCTTGGGTACAGTTTCATTCTGTGACCCCATAGGAGACCTCATTGACCTTCTCACAGCTTCTCGAGCCCAAGGAAAGCTCAGTCAGCCTTTATATTGCCAAGTTTTCTCCAGTGCTACACTTAGGAACAGAGAAACCACATAGATTTATTGATATAACTATAATCAGAAGTCGTAGCCAGGATGATAAAATGGTCAAATGATCAAATTACTTAAAATTAGAGGCATACTGAAGTGCCTCGGGGACCGCGAAGCTGCAGTCAAGCAGCCAGCCAGCTATATGGCAGTGGGATGTGTGCTGCCAGCCCCATGCAGGCAGGGGAAGTGGGGAGAACCCCGTGGTAGGTGCAGCCAACAGCCAAAAGAGGTGAGGCCACTCCAATTTTGTCACTTGTAAAATAAAATGATAAAGCAGAGCCTGCTGGACAGAGCCAGGTTGCACAGTGAGTGTGAGAGGGAAGTGCCAGCACTGAGTGCTAGCTAGAAGCAGGATGGGATTTCTGGGCATGGGGCAAGGGGCAAGGCTCCCTTTGGGGTACGGCATTTTTTGCATTCCTGTGTCCCACAGGATCCAAAGTCTTGAATTCCATCAGGATTCTCACCTAATGTGCACCCTGGGGGCCAAATGGGGATGCCACAGTTTGGTTCTGCTCATGTAACAGGAGACAGTCTCACTTCTGCGTTTTATAATGCGTCGAGAAGCGAAGGCACTTTTACCTATGGCTTCAGGATTTCATCCAGTAAAATACATTAAGTGCCATTCATTTTATATTTATCACCACCAGTGGATCCTGCTTAAGGATGATGTATGCTAGGAAAAAATTCTTCACTATGAGGATGCTGAGGCGCTGGCACAGGGTGCCCAGAGAAGCTGTGGCTGCCCCATCCCTGGCAGTGTTCAAGGCCAGGTTGGACACAGGGGCTTGGAGCAACCTGCTCTAGTGGAAGGCGTCCCAGCCCATGGCAGGAGGTTGAAACCTGATTAGCATAAAGGTTCCTTCCAACCCAAAACATTCTGTGATTCTATGATTCTATGCTCTGTGGCCATGTGTGCCTGGCATGCACCTTTGGAGTAAATGCCCCACCTCCTTCTCTGTAATTTACTTTCCTGGAATTTGGGGGCATGGTTGAAATGGCAGACTGCTTGTTCCTCTTGTCTGAGAAAAAAATGTGGTTGTGTATACTGTCATTTTACCTGATAAGATGAACACTATAAAATCAACAGTCAGCAACCCAGGCACATTCATCTTCCTAATACAATCCTACCTTTAGCATTTCCTGACATATATTTGATGTTGACTTAATTGTGCAGCCTTAAAGTAGGATTTGAGTACGAAAGTGCAAAAGCAGTAACAAAGTGCAGATGCAAGCTAGAAGCTGTCCCCTGGAAACTGTGCAAGGGATGGATGGCGCACAGATCCCTGCAGCAAGGAGATTGGGGTGACAAGTTTATTGTAATGTTTTTTCACCACCCATCTAGTCATCCTTGAAAATCAGGCTTCACACAGGAGATCCGTTAAGACTTGAGCATACAGTGTCATCCTGAGGTTGTCCCTTTCTGTTCTCCCTCACACATGAGCAATCTGACATCAGCACAAGCAGTGCATGGTTCATGGTGCTCATGTGATATATGTCCTGTTAATGCAGCATGAGGCTACAGAGATCTTGCTAGGAAAGAAAGGCTGGTCTTGCAGATAACATTTTAGAAGGGAGTTGAGAAAAATCTTGATTCTCTTCTCACTTTTACTGTAAGAGGTCAGAAAAGTCATTTTGGAACTCTGTTCTTTGAAAGGTATCCAAAAAATGCAAATAAATGCCTAATGGGCTCTGAAATGGTCTTTGAAATCAGTGGGAGATAGGTCTTTGAGATTTCAAAAATCCCACACAAAGTATTTGCATGCATCTTTAAGCATCTAAACACCTTTAAAAATACATCTCTTAAGCGCCTAACTCTGAGCATAGGTTCCTGTGTCCCATAGGCACTTTTGAAATTCCATCTGAAGTTGCTTAGATTTCCCCTGAAAAGCACCCTTTTGTTTTAATTTTCTCATTGACTTAATTTTCTCCTGACTTGAGACATAATATATATTAACCTACACTCATTTTTTGTTGCAAAATGCAGAGAAGTGAAGCTGTTTCTGAGCTGGTTTATTACAAAAAAGGAGCATATGGCTGCTTGTGTCCCATCTGAAATGCAAATGGTGGAGCTACGTGGAAAGAATTGCTATTACTTGAGCAGTAAATGTTTCCTAATGAAGTGAGTTTGACTAAGGTGGGAAGCTGGAATGGCTGCAGGAAGAAATGACAACGGTGAATATTTTGGTGGAGCAGAGCATTCTTGTTCCACTGATAAGGAGGTTCTTAGGAAATGGACTGGAATTCTTTTCTTATATTCTGTATGTTCTTCAGTGTGGGGGGATTGTTACACAGGGAGCTAGGCTCTTTCCTTCCACTAGTTGTGAAATCATGTAGTTTAATTTACCACCACAGCTTTTCACCACTGGCCTCTTTTTGGGCTGAAGTTTCCTGCTTTTTGTGAACATTTGGGGAAAATAGACCTACCCAGCATAAAGAAAGTCTAAAAGAATGACGAGTACTGGTTCCACTGATTTTTGTCACCTTGGGCATGTTTGCAGAGGCCATAGGCCAAAGAGGGTGATGAAGAAATCTGACCCACACCATCAGATTTCCTAGATGCTTTCCACACTTCCTCTTCCCATCGAGGTTTTACTCTTGCTTATATCCCTCTACACTTCCAGTGGTCGAAGGTGTCCAGATGCCTGCTGCAACATGGGAGGTGAAATGACTTTTCAGCTCTTTCCTAAATCAAGCAGTGAGGCTAGAGGCTGACATTTCCATTACTTAACTTTCCAAAGGGAGAGCTGTGGAGTCAGTGCTGTGAGGTTCAGCACAACCAGTGGGCTGGAGATAGAGCATCGGGCACATTCCTTTGCCTTAAATGTCAGAAGGAACTGAGAAGAGTTTAGGTAACAGCATGTGCACAATTACGTGCTCAGAAGAGCTGAAGCAGCTGCCAGGTTAGACCTCTGGCTTTGTCCCCAAGCAGGATCCCATCGGTGTTAATGTAAGCGTTGCTGGGGCTGAGCTGTCTGTTACATGGCACAATTGGGGGACAGAAGATTAGCATGCCTTTCCCTTGCTAATGCCCAAGGGTGTTTGACATTGCTAATGATAGTGAAATAGGAGAAACATAAAGAAAAAGGGCTGCAGCCTCCTCTTGATGGAAGTAATGGAGTTCTTGTGAGCAAAGATGAGGCTTGCTGGCATCAGGGTATGTCCACGTTAGTGTGTTAGTTCAGATGGAGACCAGACTTTTGAATTGAATCCCCCACTATGCTTTGGTTCAGGGCAGCCCAGGAGCTCATGGGCTGGGTCAGTGGGCCCTGGAGATGCCTCTAAGTTCCCTGAGGACAGAGCCAGCACTGCCCTACCTGTGCTTACCCATACTCCGCTCTTGGCCATGGGAGCCTTCACCCCACACAGAGCACGTCACCAGGTTGGGAGTGGGCACTGACCTTCCTGGGTGACACCTGGGTGAGGGTTTTTGGTTGCTGAGTTATTCAGATGCTTCAGAAAGGGCTTGTGCACAAAGTCTCTCCTAAAACAGCATTCCCCTGCTTTTAATATTGAGTAGCCTCACTGTGTCCAGGAAGCTACTCAGTGGGAGATCCCACCACCCTAGGCACAGAGAGAGTACAATCATATCACTACTGTCAGTCTTGGCAGGTGGTTTTATCCTAGTAGGGTGAGATGAGGCTTCAGTATCACATTTTTTATGATCAGAGTGCCTACAGGTGCTGTAATTATTATGAGAACTAAACCATAAATCAATATAAACCCACATTTATACATCGTTACGTATGATGGGCAGCACCTCAACAGAGGTGAATTTTGTGGCCTCTTTAATTGCGAGAGGGCATAGCAGCTTGAATTATCTGCATATCTGCTTGAGTGTTCTTTGGTTTACAAGAAATTAGAAGCGATAATGTTGTGGCATAGTTTTCCGTATATAACACTCTTTATCTTTCCTTTTACTTGCTTTTCTGTGCCTCTTGCCTCTCCCTGCATCTCATTTCCATCCAGAAACACAAATGACCTCTTGACAGAACTTTCCACTTTCATTCTGTTGATTTACATTGCGCAGTCAAGAAAATACAAATACTTTTATTTCTGAGATGTATTTATGATGTCAGGAAAAAACTTTCTCATATTAGCTTCTTCTTTTTTTCTCTTTACTTTATCTTTTCAGGTGCGTGTGCAACATTGACTGTTCTCAAACCAACTTCAATCCTCTTTGTGCTTCCGATGGGAAATCTTATGATAATGCATGTCAAATCAAAGAGGCATCATGCCAGAAACAGGAGAAAATTGAAGTCATGTCTTTGGGTCGATGTCAAGGTAACTCTCATAACAAAACTCATTTCAAAGAATGTTTTCAATTTTTGTTCAGGGGAAAAAAAGAACAGGGGCTGGCTTCTTATTTGGCACTTCTTACATTTCCATTAGACTCTTGCAATTTATGTTGTAGAGCGCAGGCTGTGGGAGAGGGCAGAACACTCCTCAGTACAGATGCCAAGCAAGGCATAAGGAGTGGTGTGTGTAACCCTTCCCACGCTGTGCCTGCAGCAGCAGGGGACTGTCCAGCCCTGCATTGGTTTCAAAATCAGGCATCTGTATTTTGCCCAGAGGAGTTGGAGCAGGGTAGCAGGAGGGCCCCTCAGGTACATTTTGCCTCCCTTAAATGGAGCAGCACAAAGCAATCTCAGGAGGCCAAAGACATGCTCCCAAATAGACTGGTGCTTGTTTCTCATGTGACCTGTGCTGGGCCCAGGAGATGCCAATAGCAGCTCAAGACCCGCTGTGCTTCTTCATGAATGCCATGTATCTCTCTGTGCCCAGCTCAGGGGCTACTACATCACCTGTAACCTTTGAGTTGACTGCAAAACTCTTATTTTGTTCTAAAATAAAAGTGAAGATAATATGCTTTTAAATATCTCCTGTAAATAAAGTGTCTACTAAGGCTCAGACTCTTAACAGCTTTTTTCCCCTTAGCTTCTGACCAGTAAATCCTCAGTACATCTACTTACAAAGCCATACTATACAGGTGTATTAAACACATTCTAGTTTATTCTTATCTCTTTAAATTTAACCACCCTATGTGGCAGTTTATTTCACGGTACATATTAAAACTCCCCAATTACTTCAAATAGAGCAGAAATGACAACTCCTGCTTCATACCGATATATTTATCCCAGTTGCAATCTGTTATCACATATTGTTAAAAAAAAAATGTGTTTTCTTAATGGAAGATGTTTCATGTTTCGTTCCAAAAAGCTGGATCCTGCTGTTTTCACCTGGCAGACCCAGGGGAACCTTGCAGCCAGCAATGTTGCTGTGCACGCAAGCAGAGCCATGTTTGCCTGGACACTGGTGGCTGGGACATAGTTTGCATCAAGTACAGCTCCCCAAGCGATTTAACATATTTCTTTTCACACAGATAATACTACAACAACTACAAAATCAGAAGATGGGCATTACGCAAGAACAGATTATGCAGGTACGGTTCCTATTCTGTGAGAATCACAATTCATGGGAAGTGTGTAAGTCTCTTTTTCCCTCTGTTTGCTAAACTGAGGTGTCCTCATTTTCTAGTATGGTTTTCTTGGCTTACTTTATCATAAACACTGTCTCTGCATTACTCTTTCTGTTGCTGATAACTCTCTTCCTTCTTAATAAATAGGCTTCTTTCATTTTTGTCGATGTACAGATATCCTGGCTATAAAACAGTTCTGAGAGTGGAAATGAGTATTGTAAATTATTTGCCAGAATTAGCAGACATTATTGAAAATTGTTGAATCAGTGCACTAGAGTATGCATATTTTTGTCATGATATACAGGTTTAAGAAAATGCATATCCAGAGCATAGCCAGCTGTGATACCATGTTGCCATTATAGATAATATTACCTGTCGGTGGTTAACTATGAAGTTAATAGGGTTCTTAAAATGTGTGGGGTTTTTTAAGTGATAAATGGTTTTAATTTATTTAGAAGCTACAATAAAATATAATGGCTGAATAGACTTACATGGCGTTTGAAATTAAAAACATGTAAATACTAGAGAGGTTTGGGAGACATTTTTTACACCCTTTGCCTGGGAGGATTGATTTAGAAGTTGAATGCGTGCATGCGCATGCACGTGCATGCAAATATTCACAGCTCACACTGAGAATTAAAGCCTTTGGTAGAGTACTGTGAAAATGGGTCAGGTGATGTGTTCCTTGCTTCAGTTTGTGATATTTTTGTGCTTTGAAAGCGTTTAAAGAGAGTAGGTGCAGCTCACTGGGTTTATCTGGGCAGATTGCTGCATGGCTTAGGTGAAATCCAGCTGAAGGTTTCACAGGTCTTAGCATTTCTTACCTGAAGAGTCCTGGGACAGTAGTTAATTCAGCTGGTCATCTCTTGTGAGGGCCCTTTGTGCATAACGTCCCTGTGTTAATAGGGTGCCCAGCCATTAGAAATGGTTGTGCCGTTCCTACTTAAAAATGGTACGTGATGATTAAAATATAGAGCTATGAATAAATGATGTCTCGGAGAGTGCTAGGTGTTGGGGGTGGCTGCAGCACGAAGCAGAGAGGGTAGAAATCTCTTTGGAAAGTAAATGCTGAGATTCATTTCCAAAAGATCAAAGATGAGCAACGGGCCCAGGTGTTTCCTACTGCCAAGGAGTCCTTCCATGGGTGAAGAGATAGTCATGCAAAGAGAGAGAAGTCTTCAGTCTCTTTCCCCAAACCCTTGATTACTTTCAGCTTTTCTCTGGGAGGCAGCTGTCAGTTTTCTTAAAAGGCTGGAAGGGCTGAGGTTGTATTCTGTGACAGGCAGGAGATACAGACCCACATCACCTAGAGAGCAGACAGCACATTTAAGCATGAAGCAACTGAGTTGGAACAAGAAGGGAGGAAAAGCAGGAGAGGGAGGAGGAGGAAATCACAGTGATGACAAGAGAAAGCCAAGTCATGGGTCACAGAGGAAGAGGCGCACAGAAGGCACCTTCAGCTCAAGTGGGCAGGAGGAAAAGAACAGCTCTTGCTTAGGAGATGATATTTCAGCCTACGCTTGTGAGGAGAGGTGGTGGGTAGAAGAAAATTGATTGCAGCAAAACGTTGTCAGGGGTAGGGAGTCGAGCAGGGAACACAAGAGGGAACTGGTATATTGGGAAGGGGGGAGTGGGGAGGTACTGCACAGAGGAGCGAGTCTGTAGTGGAAGTGGTTTCTGAGTGTGGAGGGGTCAGAAGGAGTGTGGGAAGAGATAGCCAGTGAGAGGTGACAGGGCGCTGTGGAGAGGAGACAGCACCTCACTGCTCTAGAGCCAGAGGAGTGATGGAGACATCCAAAACAAGCAGTGAGGTTCAGTAGGTAGCTCTGGCACAGAAAAGCACCATGACTGCACCTTAGCAGGCAGCAGCTTGAGGCTTCTGGTATGCTCCAGGCCCCGGTGGGGGGCTTCAAAGCCAGCAACTGGGTCCCCTGGGTGAGTCTCGTCAGGTACCATCCATCAATTTCACTGCGGTCACTTGCACCATCTGTTGTCTTCTTTTTGTTCACCTACCTATTATTCTTACTTAACTTTTTCATTTTTACGTATGGTGACAGCATGTAGTGTGAAAGGTGCAAGTTCATGCAGGACAATCCACATGACTCCACTGTCCCCAGTGTTTGTGCCATAACCCTGTCAGAAGACCTTAGGGGAAAGGGACCGCTGTATCAAAAAAGCTGTAGCAACTCCAGCCTTTTGGAAACAGTCAATGAAAAGGAAGACATCAATATAAAACTGGGGCTCAGGGAACATTCAGGCTTCAGTGTTTTCCAGGCAGGAAGCTCCATGCTGTCCTCACCATCTTTCAAGTGTAGAAACATTTGATGATGGCTGTTACAGGAATGTGGTATGTGCTACTTTTTTCCCACCTTCGTGTCCCTCAGAAGGGAAATACTGCCCTGACCATGGGGAGCTTTGTGTGAAAAAGCAGCAGTTCCTCAGCTGTCATGCCTCTGAAGCAATTTCCCTAAGCCTGCACCTTCCCAGACAATACCTTTGTTCTCTTACCATTTAATGGCACTAAAAATCGCAGAGACCATAAGCACTCCACGCTTTTAAAAACATTGACTTGTATGGACTGACTTTCCCAGGGGAGAAAATAGCAGTGGGCATAATTGATGTTGTCAATTATGCTAATGCAGCAGTGCCAAATGCTCTTTGCAGAGACGACGGTAGCTAAGCAGTGCGGGTTTTTCCATCAGCACCCCCGCACGCTCGACGTGGGGTCCCAGCTTTGGGAACAGCCACAAGTCCCAACACCCGGCTGATTTTTTTCATCTTGAAATATTCAAACCGTCTGTTCCATCAGTGTCTTTTCTTCCTCCTGTTCCTTCAAGCCCGCTGATACTTGCAGATAACACACAAATCTTACAGTCTGAAAAACCAAGAGTACTCATTCCTTTGGAGCGTAAATCTTTGCAGTAAGTTTACATCGCCTTGGTTTTTTAAGGGCTCTTGCTTTACACAGGCAAGATTCGTCTAATAGTGGAAATACCTGATTTATGTCAGAGACACCCAAAAAGCATGTCCCCTTTTTAAACAAAACAAACACAGTGGGAGTGAGCTATTGATGGCCCTTCTCTGATGGTGTCCACTTCTCCAGGCTCACCGTGGCTTGTGCTGTGGTTGCTTGTGCAACACGGTGTCTGAAGACAGATGTGTTTGTGTGTCTCTCTGTGCTATTCTGGCCTCTGTTTTTTCTGAAACCCCAAAGTATTTATCAGACGTGGGGGGATTTTCACGTTTTTCAACAAGTGACAGGTTGTTGATGTTGATCAAGTTTGTGAAATAAGATTTGGTTTTAGTCAATAAATGAATGGGTGGGATTTTTCCCTCAAATCCAATAGAAGTACAGTTTATCTGGCAATTCCCATGAAAGAGCATTTTTAAACATTTTAAGTGTAATGTATGTTTTGGAATGTAGTGTCAGAGCTAAAAGTCCTGTGATTGATGTTTTCTTGAATTTCCCCATTATGTGGATACAAAAGTTGACTGTTTCAGTGGCATTTTTGCATTCAGAGTCTAGGCAAATCAAGGAGATTTCTTTTTGTTTATTCACTTGCCTATTTATTTTTATTCTTCAATATTTATATTCCCTTCTTAAGATTTAATATTAGCAATTATCCCCCTAACTGATTTTATCCTTTCTCATTATCAAATTACTGAGGTTTTTTTCCAAGTCACTTGGAGCACTATAAAGAGTAAGTCAGCATGGATGAGCCATATTTCAATGTTATATATTCATGAAAATTGTCAGCGAAGACACTGACAAATTTGATAGACCTATTCAATAATATCTTCCAGGCCAGACAAACCTCCCTATATGAGCATTGATTAGATCAAGTCTCAGCAGCCGAATGCCAGCAGCACAACAAAGCTGATGGAAAAGGGAAGAAGATATTTTCAGCCCCAGTAGTCTCCTTTGATGAAAAATACGCATCCACAAATGGTCAGTTTGAGCCATATTTTTGGGTTCCTCAGCAGTGGTAAATTCTCCCTTGGCTGGAGCCTCAGGTGGTACCTTCTGCAGTCTTGGCTCATTCAGGGTCTGTCTTGCAGCCAGTGCCATGGGCCCTCCTGCTGATGCTGATGCTGTGCCCAGGAAATGCTAACAAGCACAAATTGTGGCACGTATGCTCCCGGCTGCTCTGTTCCCTGCACTTCCCCCTGGTTTCCCATGGGGTTTCAAATCTTCGTGACAGTCTTGGATCTTTTTCAGGCTGCTTCCTGGCACTACTGGAGGTGCTTGGGCAAGTAATCCAACAGATGGCTGTGTTGCCCAAGCAAATGGAATGCTCCACCAAAAAGGGCAAAATCCATTTGTGTCAACACATCATCTTCCCTTGGCTGAGCCTGGGCTCTGGGATGAAGGCCACGGGAGCCATCACAGACTCCCCCCTCCAGGGATAAAGGGTCTCTTCAAAAGTCTAAGAGTCTTGGTCTCCAAGGTAAATACAATGTAATATTTATGTTTGAGGAAAGAAAACCATCCTAAAACTTTATCAAAACCCACTGTCCTGCATCATTAACTTCTAATCCCTTTGAACAGGACAACAAGCCCTGCCTATCAAGGAAAATGGGGAGAACTGACAGTGGTGCACTGACCCAGTACATGTGAGAAGCACTGGGCTATGATGCATCCCTTTCTTCATAGGCTTGATACAGAGCCCACTGAATTCAGTCACAGTTGTCTTTATTGTCTGTAATAGGCCTGGAGAGTGGCCAGGAATCAGAACAGCAGTGCTGCATTTCTATAGAGAGTGACTATTTCATTTCCACCCACTCCCCCCCACCCCAGGAATAAAATATGAAAACTTCAGAGTAGATTCCTCCTCCAGATTATAAAATTTTCAAAGTAGGTTAAGGTTTGAGTGTAAACCACTTGACATTGTCCCTCTAAATTAAATTTTGTGTCTACTATCATGTAAGCCATTTCCTAAACTGGCAAAGAATAATAAAGCCCC